TAAAATTTTAAATAATTACCCAACTGATTGTTACGATTAGCCCCCTATACTCTGTCCCCCTGGCCGTATAACTCACCTGCACGAACCGCATAAGTTTAACTTTCACAGCTTCTCTTAAACAAATCTGTTAAGTTTAAAAAAAAAAACGGTATATGGCGACAAGGTGTTGATTCCATGATTTCACTAAAATCATGGAATGGACACCTTGTCGCCATATATCGTTTCTTTTTTTTTGAGTTGTGCCTTTGAAGGAGTTACAATGCCTAAAATCATTTTAGGCACTGTAATTAATTCCTTCAAGGGCACAACTAAGATTTGACTTTTAATACTGCGACGCAAAGTTGTACCGATCACTGGTATTTTAGGCTAGCTATACCACTTCTTGACAACCTTTCGATTCAGGTAAAATACATGCGAGTGAGGTAAACAAATGAATGTTGAGTCATATAAACACGACGTTTCGTATGCTATTTTATATTTTCTTGTACTGTTGCGTCAAACTTAAATAATGCAATTTCATATTTTTGTTACCTGAAAATAAAAATGAATTGTACGAGTGATAAAAAAAAAAAAAAAAAAAACTTTAGTTACTGGTCTTACGGCGGAAATAGTGCATATTGCAAAAACAACGCGGAAAATATATTCTTAATTTAGCGTTTCAAACCGTTTCTTTCGCTCCCCGGAGCTGAACCGAGAGCCGTGAACCGGAACCCGAACCGAACCGACAAAAATTTCAGAGCGACACCCTGGTCACAGTAAAGAATTTTGTTCATCCAAGTAAAGAGCCGGCACCGCACATAAAGGTCTGTGCAGTAACAATGCTAGGCGGGTGACAACTACGAACGCAAACACCCACATCTGCTTATGTTTCTCGAAGATCGTGTCGAGTCTCCAGTAAATTGCATGCCGCAATGAAAAAAAGAAAAAAGGAGAGGAGGATTAGGAGGAAAGGAGGGAGGAGGACGGGAGGGTACAAAAGAGGAGGAGGGGCATACCCTCCCGTCTCCCCCTCCCCTCCTCCTCTTCGAGAAATGCACTCTAATTTCTTGATCCAGAGATTGGTAAACGTCTTTCATCTTTTTAATCCCTTTCATTCCATGCGTGATGTCACGTGAGCGCTGTGGGTTCTTTGAAATTCCCGGACGAGGTCATGAGGCTGTGACGCCATGACCTTTTCGACCGATGAGGACTTTCCCGTCACAACGCCGCCGACGCCGGCTTTTCTGCGACCCGAGCTTCTTAACGCTGTTGCGTTAACTATATAAATTATAGGCGGCATCCAAAGTCGAGGCCTCGCAGCGCGTACGCGTCGCTTTACGTTTCAATAGCAGAGCTTTTCTTTTTTTTTATTGACATACAGGTTAAGAAAGTTTTCGAGGGAAAGGGGGACAGGGGAAGAGGCAGCAGACGGAATGCTGGAGAGGGGAAAACCGGCTTCTCTCTTCAGCTTCCGTCTGCTTCCTCTTCCCCAGCCAGAAAACTTTTCCGACAGCCAGGGATGTGGCCCTAAGCTGCAGCCTCCTTAGCACGCCTCCCCCCTTTTATTTAGCACTGCCTAGGTAGGAAGACTTCATCAGTGACTGTTGGCTTTGCTCGTTTATTTCTTCCAGACGGACGGCCGCATCACGCCAAGCCCGATGAATAGGCACAAACCGCGACTGTTCAAACTCAATTGCCACAGCAGAAGACTGAATCACCCCCTCGACCCTCGTCAGATCAGGTCGAAATCTACATCGAGGCCCATAAGCCTAACCACGACGGCCGGAAGGCACAGAGACTGTCTTCTGCGCCATCGCCAGCCGGGTGAGCAAAGCCCGGAAATTGTAGGCCAATGTGCAGCTCCACGCAAGGCCCGTACAGTCTCCCTCAACTACCCTAAAACGGCAATACACTTCCGAACGCTTGCTCTGGATGCTGTGTTTCAAGCAGAGCGTCGCATTGTCTATGACGATATTGTGTCGGCGTAGGACCGACTCGTTATCTAAGGAGTGTGTAGCGTTGTGTCAGAATTTTATAGACCGTTTTACTTCACGTGTACCGAATGTTTTACCGAACATCGCCCAAACATTTCTTGCGATGACTACGCATGGAAAGGAAAAAGAAAAGAACTCAATTGATGCCGTATTATTCACTGCCGAGGGATCAGTTTAGTGGGTAGGTACATAGTGCCGCAAATAATTAATGTTTTCCAATAAATTGTTTAATTACTACAAAAATATGTCCTTCCAGTGTAAAACGTATTGAGCGTCGTCAAGAAACATTGAACCGGTTAACATTTTGAAAGACTTTGAGCGCGTGAGATCTGTGGCGGTGTTCGAAAGTTGGCATTGTGATACAGGCACAAAACTGGTAAAATAAAAATGTGAGTTATAAAAAAAAAGAGTGGGCGCGTTTATTGTAGGTACAGTTGGGAATGCAGAAGAACGAAGTACGGATTTAAAAATTCCCAAAACTGAGGGACTCAGTGACTTTTGAATGTGCCTAGGAAGTTTCTAATTGAAGTAATATGTTTATTTTTATAACTAAAATATCCTTATGGAAACAAATAAGAAACCCGATTATCCTAAAGTGTATTCACTTAAATAAGTAGGTCCCTGGACAGTCACTAATAGGGTACAGATTTTCGTTTTTGTGCAATGCGTTGTCTTTACACATAATTAATGGCCAATCTTTTGTGAAACACCCCATATACTATATCACTGCAATTTCGTCACACTAATGCTCTTGCTGTCTCCCTCTTCAGGCTGCGAAGCAGTCGCCAGAAACCCAGACAGCCACCGAGGGTCCAAGAGGACACCGAACCTCTCAAGTCATTCTGGCTAAAGATGATCAGTGGCGTGATGCCGTTCCAGGGGTTCTTCGACCGGGGAAAGGGAAAGTTTCCCCGCCGTAGCTTACGGCGACAGCGCACGACGTCGACGGAAATGATCATCACCACGGATGCAGCGGTGCAGCTAGAAAAGCCCGCCATGGTGGACGACTCGCAGCAGGTGTCTGAGGCTCCCGTGACTGGTGAGGCACCTCCGTCTTACCAAACTTGGGCACATCCGTTTTGTCACTCTTCTGGTCACGTCTGTGTAGCACTTGAAGATTTGTCTTAGGTGCCCTAAAATGGGTGCCCAAAGTTGGTAATGTAGGCGCCATAATGAACAATGTTAGCGGCAATGCACAGTGGCCATTCATGTACTGCAAGTGCCACATATGAGGCATTTGCAGTACATGATCTTGCGTTCTGCAAGACCCAGCAAGATATTCGATGATATTAACAGGGTGGCATCTATTTGTGTTTTCGAGGTAACCACGTTTGGTCTAGTATAGCCTCCGACAATATGAAAAACCCATTCGACAAGACAGTGTGAGGAGGCTGTGCTATATTCGCTTTGGGCATGTTCACTGTATTTGTGTAAGGAAATAAATAAACGTTTCTTCTATTCTACCTTTCGAAACAATTAGAACCTCCAGCCAAATTGAGCCACTGCGAGAACTTGAACCGCCGAATGGGTCTTCGTATTGTGGGAGTCTTTGCATGAAGGCTCCAGCAGTGGCCATTTCGAGATAAACCTGCACTTAAAATAAAATAAAATATTGATAATATTTACCATCTATCCGCCGGGAGTCAAATATAGAATCCTGGCCACAATGTCGAAAACAGACACAATATTGCGGACAGAAAGAAATACATATAAATTGACTGGCACTCTTATTACGAATGTGTCACATACGTAGCTAACATGAATGGTGTGCAGATTTATATATATATATATATATTTATATAGTTTCACGGAGTTTATTGTATAATGTATCTTAATCTTACTGAGCACAGACAATCAAATGTTAAGAAATTAATTAGGCTGCACTTTGTGGGCAGTAGGCATACATAAACACGGGCCACGGTGTAAGATAATCTGGAACGATGCCTAACCAAACCCAGCTCTTTATTTCAGCTTGGAACAGAGTTTGAGAAAGTCAAACGTCAATTCTTCGTGGTTTAATTGCTTTTTCACCGCCCTCATGCATCTTGTTATAACATTTTCTGAAAACAAAACAAATTTCGTCATTCAAGATTAAAAAACAAAAAAATTTACATGCATGTTTTCTCGCAAAAATATTTTCCCCGCATATCCTTTGTTTAACACATAGTCTACTACACCCTTCAGGGTTATTACGCTCTCATCGTTGAAGATGGAGAACGATAAACGCCCAAATTACCGCCGATTGTTTTGTCGCAGGTGGCTGGTTCGATACCGCATCCGTTCATCTTTCGAAACTGGACGCCGAGGTAACTATGGGGCAGTGTACTGAAACCACTGCTACACCCAAAAGAAAACGAATGGTTGAAAATTTCGTCCCAATGCTTTTGGACGGAGAGGCTCAAAGGTCAAGTCGCACCTCATCACGGAGTGGCACAAACACGGAAAATTCTGAGCTGGTCCTCAGAGAGGCACAGCGTCACAAGGATCGTGATTTAGCTGTAGCGACCATTTGTCACGACACAATTTCCGAACCTTCGTTGCTGCTGAACACGTCCACAAAATCTGCGGGGTCGTCGAAGTTTTCCTCAAGTCAAGAGCCACCCTCCAGCGATCACCCAGCAGTTGTACCGACCAGTACAACAGCGGGACTTTTCACGAACCATTCCAAGATATCACTAGGAGCTTCGGGGCAAAACTTTGACGATTTCTATCTCCAGATGCAATGCCCTAGTTTGAACGAAATGACTGAGCTTTCTTCCAGTTGTAATGCAACATCGGACGGCGAAGAAATATCGCGCAAGAGTGCCGCAGGCAAGGACATAGAAGTCGCCATAGTCCGAGATGTGAAGCCGACTTCGACAGCCAGTTCATGCCACGATACGACTGATGCTTTCGTACACTTAATACTTGACGTCAGAACTACAGCAAAAAATGGTCAGAAATCGGTTGAGGCCGAACAAGTATTTGACGAGGATGTGTCTGACTCCGTCCTCGATGAACTTGAACATCAGTTCCAGACGCCAGAACCCACGTCTTCGAGCGTCATGTCTCGAGGTATCTTTCGAAAGGCGAAGTCGACTTCTGACACGCCGACAGAAGGACAGCGTCGCGTCAGCTTTCTGGAGAAGCCGTTTGCAGAAGTGCTGCATATCATTAAAGAGGAGGAGGACTCTTCGGATGAAAGGAAAGGAAGCTCGGCGAGTAAAAGTAAGCAATTTTATCTACTACGCCAGTTTGTGTTTCGTGCGCTACTTCATTGTGGTTGAGCTGCATATAAAGGGAGGGTTGCTCAAAAACTCTACTAAAAAAGAAAACGGAATATTGTGCATTGGGTGTTTAAATCACTTCTTTAGGAAGCACGCATGTCCGTGTGTGTGAGTTTGGGAGCATTTACACAAAAATATCTCGCTTCATTTCAGCCACCATGCACTTCAGATGCACTCCGTGCTTTTGTGCGCAGTATGCATACGAACCAAGTAGAACCGTTCTACGTGGTTCGTATGCATGTATCTGCGCGCAAAATTACGGAGCGTATCCGAAATGGTCGTTAAAATGAAGAAAGAAATGAGTTGTCTAAGCTGTTGCTGAACAGAGACTTTTACACGGAAAACGCTCACCGTTTTTCAACAAAACATGGAAGGGGCTCGCACCCACACACTTAACCATAATTCCGGTTATAGAGTCTATGCCTTCGATTAATGTAACGAGCCTAATGAGGAGAATGGGGTTGGACGAGCTCAGAGTCTGGCGAAACATAATGTATATAGAGGCTTTACACACTCGCCAGAATAGAGCCGCCATTGCTGACCTTCTCTTGTCTTATGGAGAGGCACTGGAACGGGTGTTGACGGGCCTCCAGAAAGGCCACTGCTGACAAAGACACAATGGTATCAAAGATGGCAAAAACCTGGACTGCTATGGTAATGACGAAGTGAAGAAAATGGAATAAGCGGAAACAAAAACTGAAGGTCAGTTATGGCGGCGCCCATGCACAACTGCTGTAAAGCGTATATAGGAGTGCAAACTAAAGAGCGGTTTATATATAGGGTGGGCGTTTCTCGTTACACTTCGTGGGCAGCTTTGCACTCGAATCATAGCCATCTCGCTTTTCAAAGAATATAGGATAAGAAAGTTGGCTTAGAAGGGCGGGAGGAACCATAAATGTTTGTTCTTTTAGACTTAGGACAAGTGGCGCAAGTCCCAGGTCTTTGTGCGTCTATTATCAGCGGCTGAAACAAATCACGCTAAGTAAACGCGCCGTCGTCGTGCGCTTTCTTTTTCGTGATTGTTTTTTTTTTATAAAAATAATCACTGCTATATATATATATATATATATAACAGACAAAGACGACGACTGTTGCGACGATGCCCCCTGGGCGTGGCTCGATCGGATCCATCGAGTCGCAGCATCGGCTGCGCTCGGGCTCCATATGAAACGGAGTATAAGATTGTTATATCGCCGTTTGAGTCTGCGACGCCCGTTTCTCTCGACTGAAATAAATGTTTAGATAGTAACCCGGAAATCTAGTATTAATGTATTCTAGTAATCGTGCTTTCTGCTTATTCCCTGTGCCTTTGAAAAAGCGTCTTTTTCGGCATTTATGGTTTTGTACGACAATCCATACATGAAATTCGGTATGAGCTCTACTTTTAGGTGTCTTCGCCATTGAAAATGTTCCTTTCTTTGCCAATGAAAAACATCATCCGCTCTCTACCGAGTGGAGACGTTCCTTGACAGCTAATCACCGAAAACTTCTTAAGAGTTAACGGTTGAATCATGTTCACTATAGCTGTTTCACAAGTCCAGCAGCTATATGGGCTCTTTGAACATGACCGGCTCACTCGCAGTGTTTTAAATTCTTGCAGGTAACGAGAAACTCTCGACGTCGGGCAGCGCCGTTTTGAAAATTCTCGAATCGAGCCCCAAGCAAACGAATCTCGAGGGAACCGAACGACACCCTGATGATGCCTTTGTCGTGTACCAAGCGGAAACGAATGTCTTCAAAACTCAGATGGTAGCCGTCACCAGAAGCGGCCAGTCAGACCACAGTCCCTCCTTGACGACGTCTCAACCAGTCAACCGAGGATACAAGCTCTCCCTTGTGCATCACCAACCATTTTGCGGCTCTGACGAAGGACCCCTAGCCCCATCGCCGTGCACGTCTCTGTCATTCGTGTCCTCCGAGTCGGGCCACAACGTGATGCATCCATTGACCGACCTGGCGCTTCTTCGGGGACTGCTGCCTTGCCGCAGGCCAAAGTACGAGACCGGGGACGGGAGGTCGCGAACTGGCCAACTTTCAAGGGCGCTGTCGGCAGGCACGCACACTGAGGAGGCGGCAACCAGGACTTCGCAGCAAGCCTTTGGTCGAACCCAGCAGTCATCAGTTGGTGATAGACGAAGGGGATCTTCGGTTTGGCCCAGGACTGGAGCGCGACAAGCGCTTGTCCGATGTCGCCCAGAGGACCCTCCTGGGCCGCCGCGATCGGCACCCAACACTACTTCCGTGAAAGATATGCCTTTCCTAGAGCCCCAACTCTGGATTCAGCGACAGCCCCGAACCAAACGGAATACGGCTTTCAGCAGAAGAAGTCTTCTTTGGCCTCATCGTCTGCAGACGCAACTCTTGAAGATCCTTCAAGGGCCATGAGACCCTCCACGGTGAAATCCGAAGTGTTCCTGACAAGGAGCACAACCGGGTTGTACAGGAGCTCGCCGTGCTTCCAAGATTCTAACAACTCATCCAGGAACGATCTCTTCCTTCAGCCGCTTCGACTTAGGGACCTGGTCGTCCTGCGGTACCCCCAGTTTCGCTGGCTAACGGTACAGTCAGAACAGTATACAGATGCAGGCGTGCAGGGATCGCAGCGAGAGTCTCAGTTTGCTACGTCTGAAAACTCCAGTCGAAATACTCCACCACCATCGCACGTGGATGCAGTTGTGAAAACGCTCCGAGAGATTTATCTGGACACGTCAACACTTTCCCTACACCTTTCCGCCGACACAACTGGAATAGCGTCCGCCGTAGACGATAAGAATCTCGGTGATCTTCTAGCGGCAGCCAAAATGGCGCCCCTAGATAATGTTGGTTTCGTTAGTCCTTTGGAGGCTACGAGGCCTAAAGATTGGCATTCGGGGGACGCCACACCATCCCTAATGAATATAGCTGCCACGGGGCTTGATTTGATATCGTCGTCTTTGCGTAAATATGCACCGAAGGAAACGTCAGACATTTTAGAGGAGATAAGCTGGCCTCCTACGGAAGGCCTTATTCTCATATCGGACAGTTCGACTGCAGTCAGCGTAGCTGGCAGTTCCCCCGTCGCTGCGGATTGCAGCAGCATTGCCATCGAACCCAGTTGGAAGGACAGTGTGCAGACAGGCAGCGCGAAAGTCGGTACTGTTAGAAGCAGTGGCAGACGACTGTCGACAAGGATCCCCGAAGGCCCTTCCTTTGAATCGATATATAATTCAATCCTGCAGCCTCAAATTTCTACTGATCCCGCTACCGACATAGGCGCCGGCGGTGTCGTAAATCCTCCGAGGGGTACTCGAGGTATATCACTCTCTGGTCGCCTCTTCTCACAAAACAGTCGGCTGGGATGAAAGGAAGACGGCGGCCATAGTGACGGCTCAGACTCAGATGAAGTTAGTGACGACTTGCAGAACCGAAGCTCTTCCGGATGGTGCCACTTCGGTGTCAAGTTCAAAGCTTACTCTGAGGAGTGGGCTTCGCTCGTAGACGAATGAAGCTATCGCACCCAGGGAAGACGCAGAAAGGCGACGGGAAGCCAGCCCGGCCGTTCTGGTGAATAAAGCACTATATCCAAGGCCGACGCAAGACCGCGAAGACACGTCATCCACACCGGAGTCCACTCTGGACAGTGCCCAGGTGGCACAGTTGGGCCTGCAGACTAAATCAGAACTATGTCTGCAAAACAGCTCAAAGACCTCGATGTCGTCTCTCGGACATCGGAAAATGGACGTTATGACGGTTGACGAAGGTGAACTGTCTGCTTTTTTCTCATTCGAGGAAAGCAGCTCCAACAGTTCTCTGCTCCCGGATGCGACAAGCCTCAGGTTCTCGGAGGATTCCCTCAGCGATTCCGACGCCAGTTCATCGAATCAAGATGACGGCAATTGCGGTGCTAATTAGATTGCTTATTAACACTAACCGATAGCTGTCCATTTACATGCATGAAAGGCCGTTTCCCAGAGACAATAGGAGGACAGTTTTTTCCCTGCTGTATGTCGCCATATATATGAAGCACTGCAACTTACTTGGTTTAAAACAGTTTGTTTTGACCATCAATGTAATAGTTGTAGAGAATGTATACAATGTGTACGATAGTGAGTGAACAGGACATTTCACCTACCGCTCGTTCCCCCTGCGCACTGCGACGACAGAATAAACCATAAACCTCAGTGTTTCGTTTTCTATCGCTTTGTTTGGTGGAGTACTGAAGCGACCCAAACCCTGGAACTTGTACATTTGGTAATTTGGTATAGGGCGCCGCTGTCGCTGGCTCTTCAAGCTGACCATTGCACTCTTGCCGCTCATTCTCACTGGAAGCGGATCCGCGTTCGGAAAGTGGTTACGAACGCGGTTGTATAACGTCTCTAATACAATTGCACGCGCACTCGATGACATCACGTGCGCGTGCAATTGTACTGGATCTTCATACAACCGCGTTCGTAACCGCTTTGCGAACGCGGATCCACTTCCAGTGTGAATGAGCGGTTAAAGGGCCATCAGATTGCTCTTTGAAATCTTCGTTTTACGGTCATAACTCAATGTACGAGCTCTAAGCATCCTAAAAAAAGTGAAAGCCGTTTACAAATCCCTGTAACGCCGAATTGGAGCGCAGCTCTTGATGAAGAGGAGTGAAGGGTACTGAGGGGAGGGTAGACCCCTCCTCCTCCCCTCATTCTTTAATATGCTCCGGGGGGCGGTCACGTGACCTCGGGGGGGGGGGGGGGGTGTCACGTGACTTCGGGGAGGGGGAGTCACGTGACCTCGGGGGTCACGTGACCTTGGGAGGGGTCACGTGACCTTGGGGAGGAGACCACGTGACCTCAGAGGGGTCACGTGACTTGGGGGTCACGTGACCTTCAAAGGGTCACGTGGGGTCTTGGGGTCACGTGACCTTCAAAGGGTCACGTGGGGTCTTGGGGTCACGTGACCTTGAGATGACCTTGGGAGGGGTCACGTGACCTGGAAGGGTCACGTGACCTTGGGATGACCTTGGTTACGCCGACGGCGACGGCGACGCCGCTCAAGCCGGGAACGGGCCCCTAAGAGCTGCGCTCTAAAACGAATTTACATTCATGCGCGGCCCATTTGCATATTAAAAGAAATGATCGAGGATTGCGATATTCATCATTGTTGCTGAACGACAGGTGGCGCTACCGAACCTTGCTGAACACTGTCGATCGACGGCGCTTGTCAGCCACTCGCGACCGATGGGTTTCCGCATGGAAGAGCGGGACTGATCAGCCGCTCTTTCACGCAGGAAACCCATCGCTCGCGAGTGGCTGACAAGCGCCGTCCGTCGTTCGACCATATTCAGCAAAGTTCGGTAGCGCCATCTGTCGTTCAGCAACAATGATGAATATCGCAATCTTTGATCACTTTTTTTTTATATGCAAATGATCCGCGCATGAATATAATTTCGGGTTTTTAGGATGCTTAGCTGGAGAAGGGGAACAAGAGGGACAAAGGACAAACATAAATCTCCAAAAACAGCAAGGTGACTGGTGCGCGATCAAAAAGGTCCGTCTTGTCCAGCTCGCTTGCACCTTTGCATAGCTCGAAGAGTGAGTTAAGACCCAGAAGTAATAGAGTGCCCCGTCGCAGACTTGGAGCGCGAGGACCTGGGCCCGTTTTCTCGAACGCGAACCGTGGGTTAAAGTTAACTATTGTCCCTAGAAGGGTGAATTCTAGGTCACGTGACTGGGAGAGCAGGGGCGCCGAGAGAGGAGCAGTACCTACAGGAAAAATGGCCGCGACGTCGCTTAATGAGGGCTAATTGTTCTGCTTGCTTCTGCTGAACATTAATTTCGATCCAGCTGTTATATTAATGACTCACCATCAACCTATTAGCACGTCAAGCAAAGGGGTAGTTTAGAGAGGCTACTAAACTAACCGACGGCAGCATTCTTTGAACGCATCACTCTTCAGCAGTCCGGGATCCAAGACATATGACGGTACATAAGCGTTACAAGTGTTTTTACGGTGAGTAAAAAAATGTTTTGCGAACGAGGGTTGGTATATATTTACACTAACACGTTTAATATGTTACACTATGCACGCCAACTCGTGAGCAGCGATTACTTTGCGGAGAAAGGGGGTTATTCTCGATAAAGTCTTCGTTCCGGGTGAAGAGCTGGGACATTGTACTGTTTTTTTTTTGTTGTTGTTGTTTTTTTTTTTTTTGTTGTTCGCAGTGCGCCGACAGTATGCCGACAGCATCGAGGTTTCTACATATCCCCGGCGGCCAGCAATTCAACGGTGACGAGAAGCTTAGCTTCTCGTCACCGGTGGATCGGTTGGGCAAACGGAAGAGAGGGCAAACAGTTGAGATCAGCAGGAATCGCAAAAACGTGCGTCGCAAGGAACAAAAACGAGACTACAGCATTGGCGTTGCCAGACTGGAAGGCACACGGGAAAGTTATGGGTTGTTTATGGCGAAACATATTGAAGGAAATGTTTCTTACATTTTCGAATATTCGTCGACAAACTCTAGCACAGTAGCTAAAATTTCTTCGTACCATCTAAAGCAAATAAACTTGTCTTTAAGTACAAAATTACTATATATTGACTTAAAATACCATACTAGATCGATAACAACCACCGGAAAAAGAGGATAAACAAAATGACTGGCTTGTTTCACCGATAGATGGCGCATCTTACTGCCCACTCAAAAATAATTATTGTTGTTCTATATTCAGCCGTTTATTACTGTACCTAGGTACTTTTTCCTTCCTAGGCACCGTGGTTTACCAAAATGGCTTTACCATCGCTTCGAGAAAACCGGCCCTGGTAGCACAGAGCATCAAAGAGCCATTTCTCGGGGAACCTGGACGTCAACGCACAGCTTTTGCAGCGGCGAGGACCCGAAAAACACTTGTTCACTCGGAAGAATTGTGTTTCGGCGTCTCGCCGCAGCGTGGCGCCAGTCGCGTGGCTCTCCTCTCATCCGTTGTCAGCAGCTGCACCTTTTTGCATTTCGGCGGCCGCTTGTCGTGGCGATCTGCCTGGCTTTGTCGGTATGTAGGAGGCTACGCTCGTACAATTCATAGTTTTCATAAAACCTTGTTAAGAGCTGTGGGTTGATTAAAACATTAACACGACTGATCACCACCCTTTAATAGACGAATTCATTGGTAAATTCGTTGGTTGATCTTTATCGAGTCATATTGCACGAAAGAAGTCAAAACTACACATATTTTCTTACTCTTTTCACCATGTCGTAAATGGCATATTGCAGTCCTCTTCTTAAAATTCACGGTGTGACGCCTACAGAAATAGGAACACGGGAAGCATCTTAAAGTAAACTAATTTTAAATTATTGTATAAACCAGATAATCACCCTCGATGGCAATCACAAAATCACAAGCACCCTACGTGTTTACGGTGCAAGCCTGTGTCCTAAAGGTACAAAGACGTCAAAAATATTAAAGCAGGCATTTTTTTGTTTTGCTTTTTTCCCCTCAAGATTCCGATGAAACGGGAAATAAAATTTCGCAATTAAAACATCACTCGTATAATCGCAAGATTAAACGATGAACTGCCTAGTCCCGATATGCGTTAGGTTAGGGCAGAGGATGATCGGAAAGTCTCGAGAGAGTCCTTTCAGCCCTCAACAGTAAAAGAGTGGCGCTGCGGTCGATGCTGTCTGTGTCGTGGTCCGGTTCGTTTGTTTGAGTTGCAGAGTTTACTATGTTTGAATTTCAGATTATTTAGCTAGAAATTTATAATATTGAACTTTTGACTT